CCTCTGGAACTCACTGACAGTATATCCTTGAGCAAGTGATTTGGCTTCTCTGAGACATATATGAAGGACCTGGCTGTCTAGATTACTATGAGCATGAAGGAAGAACATAGACTCATGCTTAGCACAGGGCCTGTCAGAGGCAGTACATGAGCTATTATAGCCATTACAGGAGGGAGCTTGATGAGTGTGTGATTTTGCTGAAGTTATTAGTTTGCTTTTATGCTGCAAATACATGCAAGAAGCACCATACCTAACAAGTCTCACTAAGTTTTTCTTAGGTTCTTGCCCTGTAGGTCCTATTTCTATCTTGAGGGTGTTTAACACATATATCACTCAAAGTCTTTTCTCCCAGACCTTGCCCCTCTCTACCAGGTTGTGTACCTCTCTTTGTCATAGAGTCTCTTTGGGAGAGTTATAGTGGCAAAGTGAGCCAGCCCTATGTAATCCCCCACCTGTGGATGGCAATAGCTTGGAGGACCTCCAGCAGCAGAAATTCTTGTCTCTGTGCATCCCTGGTTTTCTGAGACTATGGTCACCTTAACTCACACATTCTCTTTTATAGGGACAGACTGAGGGAAGATGCCATACATTTGGCCAATGTCCCCCATTATCTGGGGGCCAGTACAATTAGGTTTGGGAAGCCTCATCTGAACTATACCAAAGATTCATTACTGGGCAGGGTGTAGCTCAAGCGGTAACGCGCTCACCTGGCATGCACGGGGCGCTGGGTTCGATCCTCAGCACCACATACAAATAAAATAAAGATGTTGCATCCACCGAAAACTGAAAAATAAATATTAAAAATTTCTCTCTCTCTCTAAAAAAAAAAAAAAAAAAAAAGATCCATTACTGGATGCCCATTGCAAGCTTAAGAAGACCATGTGTGACTACCACTTGATAGTGTTGGGTATCTGGATAACTGTTGTTTGAATCAGCTTTTTCACTGCTGTGACTAAAATACCCAACCAGAACAATTTCACAGGAGGAAAAGTTTATTTGAGGGCTCATGGTTTCAGAAGTCTTAGTCCATACAAGACTGGCTCCATTCCTCAGGGCTTGAAGTGAGGTAGGACATCATGGTAGAAGAGTGTGGCAGAGGGAAGCAGCCCATATGATGATCAGAAGGCAAAGAGAGAAATTCCACTCTCTAATGTTTGTTTTTTGTTTTTCTGGTACTGGGGATTGAACCCAGGGGTACTTACCCACTGAGCTAATCCCCAGCCCCTTTCTTCTATTTTATTTAGATACAAGGTCTCACTGATACAAAATATATACCCAAAGTCAAGCCCCAATTCTCATCACCACTAGCCACACTCTACCACTTCAGTTACCACTCAGTTAATCCCTGTCAGGGCATTAATTCACTGATTGGGTTAAGACTCTTATAACCCAATCATTTCTCCTCTGAACCTTCTTGCATTGTCTCACATGTGGGTTTTTGAGGGACACCTCACATCTAAACCATAACAATGATAATAACCCAAATGTCACTGGCCATCTGTTCTATAACCCCTCAGTCCCTTCAAACCTCATCACAGCCCAGAACAACATTTTAGAGAATTTCTCAGGAGAGGGGCACACACTATAGGACACAATAATGGCTGGAGACATGGGTGAGTGTAGCTAGTTGGGAGAGGCTCACAGCCTAACGTGAGACTCATTCTGAAACGCAAGAGAGGATAATAAAAGTCATATAAATAAAATTCCAGATACAAATGGAGAAAAAGAGAAGTGATTTAAGTCTGCACACTGGTGAACCTCTCAGCAAGAGGGAGACATGGCAGCTTGGGCCCCTCTACACACTGAGTGGCAAGAAGATAGTTGATGACATCTACAGCCAAGATCTTTCTGAAATCACATGGACAGACCCATGCCCAGACACCTAGAGTAGCACAGCTATAGGCAGGACAGACTGCCATAGTATCCTTTTCTGTGGGGGTGGATTTCAATGACCACAATGATAAGGCTATTTGATGAAATGTTTAACCCAAGGTAAGCTGCACAGAGGACAGGTGATTTTAGTTATCTGGAAATTGTATACAAACAGTGGAAACTATACTGATATATTTAAAGAAAAATCAATGCCAAGTAAAAACCAAACCCTTCTATCCATTTAATGAAATTCTGCTATTACAAAAACTTTATAAGACCTACTGATATGTAATAAATGATGCCTCAGTTGCAAGGAATCAAGAATGCAATGCAAGTGTCCTAAGATTTTTTTGTTTTGTTTTGTTTGGTACTGTGGATTGAACCCAAGGGCACTTTACCACTGAGCTACACCCCCAGCCCTTTTTATTTTTTATTTTGAGATAGAGTCTCACTAAGTCACTTAGGGCCTCACTAATTGCTGAGGCTGGCTTTGAACTTGTGATTCTTCTGCCTCAGCCTCCTGAGCCACTGGGATTATAGGCCTTTGCTACTATACCCAGCTTGTATTTGTGGCTTTTAAGAAGTGAACCAGAAGAGTCATTTCTCACAAGGAGGTGATAGATCTACTACCTTTGGGGGAGTACTTCCATAAACAAAAATAAAACTTCTACATGGCCAGGAAACTTCATACCTCTGCCCCCAAGCCTCTGTCCTCAATGCACCAGACTGAACTGAGCTCTGTTGGTTCATTCATGTGGCAGACACACAGCCTCTTTGATCATGCATTGTGAATAATAAAAACCTACAGGTGGGATCTTCTCGAACATTTATTGGAAGAATACAAATATTTTGCAAAATGCAAGAAATCAAAGTGACAAATGTGTTTTTTTAAACTTTTATTTGCAATTATTTTATGCTGAATTTATTCCTGTGCCATCAGTTTTTATTTCTTCAGTTTCTCCTGGGGTATCTTTTTCTTCTGTGCAACTTTTTCTTCTGGTTTAGGAATAAATTGTTGCTTTTCAGTGAGGATCATCTGTATGTAGCGAGGGAACTCATATGGGTTAATCTGATCATGAGGTCTATAAGTACAGTGGTGCATCCTGTGTGCTTTGTTTACCTGGATATGTTCAATGAGCAGAGAATCTATGTCTAAACTCTTAAGTTCAGCATTATTCTGCATTTTTCAGCATGTGTAGCACAAATTCAGCACACTTTTTGGGCCACCAACCTGTGTCCACCCCAATGTTTGGCCTAGGCACACCTCCCAACTCCACCATTGTAAGCCTGAACTGTAAAATATTGCTTCTTTAAAGTGACATCTTTCAGGTTCTTGGTGGCTTTTCAAATATGCATACCCTTGATGGCTGGCACAGTTTCATGAATGGTCCTAAAGTGAACATGTAGATTTGAACCTCTTGATTTGCATGATTTCATGGGGTTTTTTGGAGCAAGAGAGTAGTAAACCATTTTCACAGATCATCTCAGGCTCCTTACAGAAGGGAGCAAACATGTTTTAAAGATAGAAATGAGCATAGCTTAGGAGAACCTACTAGGAGGTCTTCTAAACTACATTCTATGCATGAAAGGGTATTAATGAGGCTGCAGGTTATCACTCTGGACCTCATAAGCGCAGCTGGCTCAACTAGGGTAAGGTGAAAAGTACCAAACCAAGTAGCTATGGCCAGAGGACTGATTGAGTCACACAGAAAACAGAAGAGTATGGGAAGATCTCAGAGAAAAAACTCCTACTGGACAGATTAGTCAGCCTGAGACTACTGCCCTCATCATGTAAGAACAAAAATGTACTAGATGGTTTTTGACATGCCCTATGAGGAAAACATTTAAAAACATCTCTTGAAGAAGCACAAAAGAATGTATCATAGACCATTAAAACAACCCAAACTCTGAGCTCATCCCAAAACACACAGTAGCCCAAAGTCAACTCCTATTCATAAATATAAATAGCTGATGTCACAGGGCCAGTCCTTGAGTCAACATGCTCCAAGTGAAGTTCATGATTCTTGTAGGACTGCTACCATGCTGTAAAATTTTAAAAACCTATAGACTAAATGTTAACTTTAAAAATTCCCAGTGCTACATATGATGCTATGTAGAATGCCAATACTACATATAAATTGAAGAATCAAAGTAAAATAACAGTATATAGGCAGTGAAAGGCATTGCTCATTCCTCCATGTACAAGTATTATCCTGTAGTTGAGTTCTAAAATATAAAAATTCATGGGGCATGGGTGTGCACACCTGTAATCCCAGTGACTTAGAAGGCTGAAATGGGAGAATGGCAAGTTCAAGGCCAACCTGAGCAATTTAGCAAGACCCTGTCTCAAAATTAAAAAAAAAAAAAAATGGTTGGGGATGTAATTCAGTGGTAAAACACCCTGGATTTGATGCTCAGTACCCCCAAAACATAAATATATAAATTTAAAAAATAAAATCTAAAACCATTTGGTGGGGAGCATTTGTCTGTAATTATGGGAGCTTCCACGCATGCCTCTAATTCCAGGTTCCCAGATCAATCCGATCTGGACTTTGGAGAAGCTGAGGTGCTTGGTTTCTGCCTGAAATTGCCCTTCACACTCCATATATCAGCACTCTGACTGCTCAACCAGCCCAAACTGGAACTAGAGTGGAATCTACAACAGGATTTCCAACACTGTGTAAGGCAACTATGTATGACTGATGCGGAGAGAGATTGGAAAAACCCAGGAATTCCATTAGTCATCACTGGATACAGTCCACGGTTGTTTTTTCAAAAGGACCAGAAGCAGTGAACAGGTCTCTGTGTTAACGAAAACGGGCAAGGGAAGCTCAGAACATCAACCCGAATACAGGTATGCAGCGGGCAACCCAGTACCAATGAGCAACCTACACACTATATTAGTGGAATCAGCACTGTGGGCTGAAGGGTTATATGGAAATCCAGAGGGCTCTATAGGAGATGATTCAAATTGCATACTGCAGTTACATATGTTTCTCATATTCTTCCCACCTTCTCTAATATCACCATGCATTAATTTTCCTTAACAAAAAATCTGATTCCTGACAGCCGCTGCCTGCTCCTCCGCCGCCACCAGAGCCACCCGCGACAGCCAGCCAGCCCCGGCCATGGACCACCCGCAGTGCCACAGCTTACCCCAGGACCTGTCCGACTCCTTGAAGGAGGCCACCATGGAGGTGCACACCCAGGCAGAGAATGCCGAGTTCATGAGGAACTTCCAGAAGGGCCAGGTGACCCGAAAGGGCTTCAAGCTGGTGATGGCATCCCTGTACCACGTCTACGTGGCCCTGGAGGAGGAGATCGAGCGCAACAAGGACGACCCCGTCTTTGCCCCACTCTACTTCCCCGAGGAACTGCACCGCAGGGCCGCACTGGAGCAGGACATGGCCTTCTGGTACGGGCCACGCTGGCAGGAAGCTGTACCCTACACAGCAGCCACGCACCGGTATGTGGATCGGCTGCAGCAGGTGGGGCGCAGGGAGCCCGAGCTACTGGTGGCCCACGCCTACACCCGCTACCTGGGTGACCTGTCCGGGGGCCAGATCCTCAAGAAGATTGTGCAGAAGGCCCTGGACCTGCCCAGCTCCGGAGAGGGCCTGGCCTTCTTCACCTTCCCCAACATCGCCAGCGCCAACAAGTTCAAGCAGCTCTACCGCTCACGCATGAACACTCTGGAGATGACCCCCGAGGTCAGGCAAAAGGTCATTGAAGAAGCCAAGACCGCATTCCTGCTCAACATTCAGCTGTTTGAGGAGTTGCAGGAGCTGCTGACCCAAGACCCCGAGGACCAGCGCCCCTCACAGACGGCAGGCCTTCACCCCCATGCCAGCAGCCAGGTGCAAGGTGAGGACCTCCTGGGCTCCCATTGAAAGGGATGAAGTGCCAGGGTCTGCCCTAGCAGGGTTCAGGGAGTCCTGAAGGATGAGTGGCGTTGGCGAAAAGGATGAGACAGGAGTCGTTCCATTGCAGCAATCTCCAGAGAGAGAGCACTAATGCAGCTTTCTCTGGGTCATCTTTTATTGCAATTTTTCTCATCATTATGGATTCAGAATACGTCATTGATTATACAATTTCAAAACTTTGCCAAGAAGTGACATTTCCTTAACCATCATTAGGAGTATAGAAAAATGTAACATCAATTTACATTTTTCCAGGACGTGACTTTTAGTTATCAATTATTAAGGGTACAAAATCATTAATAAAATATGTCACTAATTTACAAAGAAAATCTGATTCCTGACATCCTGACAACTACTTATTTATTTATTTTGGTTGGTAACAGGGGTTGAATCCAGGGGAGCTTTATCACTGAGCCACATCCTGGGCTCTTTTAAAAAATGTTTTATTTAGAGACAGGGTCTCACTAAGTTGCTTAGGGCTTTTCTAAGTTGCTGAGGCTGGCTTTGAACTCAGGATTCTCCTGCCTCAGCCTCCTGAGGTTGCTGGGATTACAAACGTGCACCACCGTACCTGGCTCCTGCTAACTATTCTATCAGGTGATGCGGATAAATCATAGAGATCAAACCTGCCAACTGGAAGGATTTAGGTACTCAAGGATGGGGAGTTAAGAGAAGTACAGTACAGCCCCCTGGGCTAACAGAATGTGGACATCAACATATTTATCTGAATCATCCATAATCAGGTTTTACATTGCATTCCTCAACCGAACTGACTGGGACAAGTATAGGCAAAAGCAACTGCTCAAACTGGTAACTTGTCCTGGATGTCCCTTTGCACAAATTCTACTTGAGGAAGTTCTCTGCACACACCTGACTTTGGCCAGGACTCAGGAATACCCACAAGTGGGGAGTAGAGGGAGGGAACTAGTATCTCATGGTAGAATATTGTATGGGCAAATCCACAGTAAAATACAAAATAAAAGTTTAATTCTCTTGGTAAAAGAGGGAAGAAAACTATCCCTTCTATTTTCTTAGAGTATTTCTTTTAAAAAACTTGTGTTCTTTTTTCTTCTCCACATTGCAAAGTATACAAATCTTTTTAAAAGCTAAATAAACTTCCTGCCAATATTACAATCAGGATTGGACAAAGATGGCCATACCACCCTGAGCATACTTCATATTCTCTGATCTTTTGGGCCCAGTTATTACCTGTGTAACAGTAGTCTACTTTATGCTTTGAATATAGCCCTTGCTGCTCTGCCATTGCAACTTTTTTAAAATACTTACTAATTTTTTAATTTGTTCTACTTAGTTGTACATGACAGCAGAATGCATTTCAATTCATCATACACAAATGGAACACAACATCTCAAGTCTCTGGTTGTGCATGGTGTAGAGACACACAATTCATGCAATCATACATGTACCTTGGGTAATGGTGTCCATCTCATTCCACCATCTTTCCTACCCTCATAACCCCTCCTCTTGTAACTGATTTTTAAAAGGGACATTTTTCTCTTTTTCTCTCCCTGCTCCTCCCTAATCTCTCCCCCTCTCTAATCTCAGGGGAAACAGGATTACCTTTCTTCCCCATCCTAGGCAGAGTTAGCTGTCCCTGATCACACACCCTCCATAAGAATGAAGTAATCCAGACATTGGGGGTGGTACCAGAAAGTCTCAGAAATGACTATCTGCCAAATTAACAAGTGAATGTCAACTCCAAAAGAGAACATATGGAATTCAGACTTTGGATCACCTCTTTAAAAACCCCTGTTCCTGCTTATGGGCAGAATCACAGCTTCCGGGACTGGAGTTCTTTGTGTTTTTCCTTTGCTAGCAAAACAATAAAACTTTTTTTTCCTTTTTCTCAAAACTGTGTCCTTGTTATTGGATTGGTATCAGAGAAAGAGACCGAGGTTTTGACAACACTTAGATGGAAGGAATGTATAAGGAACTAGTAGCAAAAACATTTGGGCTGTATGAGAACTGGGGAAAGAGGAAGAGGGGACAACAGTTAAAACCAGAACCTGAGCCAGGCTCTCCTGTGACAGACACAGGGAAATGCATGTCACAGGCAGCACCCAGGCAGCCCAGGAAGCCACAGAAGAAAGATCTGGAATATGAATCAGATGAGGGACACAGCACATCCAGGTTCCAACCACTCAGCAAAAGCAAGAGCAGCTCCTTCTCACAACTCCCTCACCTGACTCACCTGCCCAACATCAAGAGAGGGTGCAGAGCCACCTACCTCCATGGCCATCTTCACAGTCTAAGGCTGACCCAGCACAGCCTTCACCAACACACAAACCCAGCATCCTTGGGGTAAATGGGACATAAGAACCCCCCACCACCACCATCCTAAATGTTTCAATTTGCCGAGGACCATGACCTCTCATATTGCTCACACTCAGCAATGTGCACTGAGCCAGGCTGCCCCACAGATGAGGGAACAGGAAGGGTGGATTTCCTTGAACCCCTAAGATCCATCACACTTTCACACCAAAGTCCCTTAGGCTAGAACTGTCTGTATCTTCATCATGCTATGGAGCAAACTCACTTTCTTACTTGAACCCTTAGGGGACTTGACACTGGGAGACCATTGTGTCCCCCACCACAAACTGCAGCTGCACCTTATCCTGTCACAGTCACAGTGGCTGTAGCACTATATGGGATGCCCACATCTCTCCCCCTGGTGTTGGCCACACCCTCTCCTTGAGAGTGCAGCAAGGTCTCCCAGGCAATGCAGTCAGCCCTTGGGAGGACCCCAGGACCCCTGGGTGGACCACCAAGCCACCAAGGCTTCCAGGACACACAGAGGAAGTGACACTGTCATCTGTGGTCTGTGGCCTGTAAAACTGGGAATAGGAGGGGGTTAGGCCACCAGCTTGGAGACCTGACCCAGAGGTTTCTGCATAACCAGGCTCTAAACTTCACCCATCTTACATCATGGACAGAACCCATGGGTTTTATTTCCTCCCACTGATACACAGAGGGTGGTCAGAAGAAGCAAGCACAAAGCTGAGTACAGGAGCATAATAGGCCTCAATTTCTGGAACACATAATGTCTGTCACAAGTTTCCCACCAGAATCCAGTGTCCTCAGCCTACAAGAGCAGCTCTGCACAGTGCTGCTGCTCCTGGCCCTCGTCCCATCTTGAGGCTGGGAGCTCCTGAGTGAGGGGCCAGGTTTATGTCCCATTCCATCTTTCCTGAGCAGAACAGTCCTCCCTTGCTCTGAGCCTCTAACCTCTGCAGTTCTTCTCATTAAAAATCAGACAGCCAAGTGCACACCTGTAATCCCAGCAACTTGGGAGGCTGAGGCAGGAGGATTAAAACTTTGAGGTCCGCCTTAGCAATTTAGCAAGACCCTGTCCCAAAATAAAAACATTTAAAAAGGCCAAGGATGTATCTCAATGTTACAGCAGCCCTGGGATCAATCTCCAGTATTGGAAAAAAAATACTCATCTCAGTGGGTCTTGAAAGGGTTAAGTGAGATAAAACATGAAAAGAACTGAGCACAGTTCTGGATCCCACTTGGTATTGCTACCTGTTACACTACCAGCTGCATAAAAGAGGGAACCAATATAGCAGGGTATTAACTGACCTGAATTTTGGTCAGTGGTTACCATCTGCCTCTTCTGACTGGTCTTTATGCTCCTGAATAACAGCTTAGCCACCAGGAAGACTAGAGTTGGCATTCAAGGTGGAAAACACAGGCCTTCACTTACCAAGCTGGTGGTGAATGGAGGGAATGTGCCTTTATGTTCAAAATAAATAAGGCTCTCCTTTTGTGACTCCCACATATCCTCATCTCCACAAGCATCCTGAGAGAGGCAAGCATATTGCATCTACGGGGGAAACACAAAACACTTAGAGAAAAAAAAGAAATTACCCTCTGAGCAGGAGGCTACACAGGTTCCTTTGTGCAATACTCTTGTCTAAGGCACTTGTGGCTGTCCAAAGCATAAAGTTATTTGCTTTATAAAACAATACAATAAAAAAAGAAAAGCCTAACTTAGAAGAGACCAAAATGATAACTGTGAGTATAATTCTATGTAGATGGATTTTCTGGGATTCACATTTCACCATATCCTGAAATTTCTAGACCTTGCTCATGAGCACATGTTATATCTATAATTCAAAAATGTTAAAAATTGAGTACCTTAACTTAATGTACGCTGTGTTTTGCACAAAATATTAGCAAATCAATTTTTTCTTTCTGCATATATGCTCCCTAATAGAGTTTCAGTCAAAGGCTTTGCTATAAATGGTCCATTATTACACTACCAGTCGCATTCTCTTTCCATCACCCATATAAATAAGAAGGAAGAAAAAACACATGAGGCAACTATGAGTTGGCAGGAACTGTTTCCACACTAAGAAATCACAGTGTTGCAGGAATCAGGCAAGAAGTAGCAAAAGGCACTCGAAGAGGAGAAACCAAACTTCATTTTATGACAGCAGGCCCAGAGGAGATCAGACTCCAAATTCTGAGTGCCCATCACCAGTTTTTCACAACATTTATAGGCTACCTAGTGTCACAAATTTTGTAGTCTAAACGATACATGGTTGTGCCCAGGGTTTCAACCAGGAAGAATGTTTACAGAAGCAGAGTGAGATAAGGGGAAGAGCTGGTTCTTCTTATATCCTAGAGAAGTCATTTACCATCCAAAAGGTAGGAGTGGATGGTGCTAATTAGTTTCCATGAAGATGAGCTGACTATAAAGGGGAGGGGAACTGACCCTTTCCTGGGCACTAATTTGCACAACAGTGTTTAGTTTATTTTGTATCCAGGATTGGGCTAGTTACTCAGAACATCTTCCCCCTTCTCATGTCCCCATAAATCCCTTAAAGGGGTCTCTCCTCTGACCATGTCCTCCAAGCTAAGCCACTGGTAACTCTGAAGGACCAGAACAACCCTCTACACCTGGTTCTGGTAGTTTGGGGCTATTGTAGTCACACCTACAGCAA